TGTTTTATTTTGTTATGTATTTTGCTATAAAAATATTTGAAATTTTTTTAAAATTGTATTTTAAGACCAAGTGTATTTATTTTTTATGTTTCATAATTATTATTTATACATGTGTATTTTATCTATTTTTGTATCCTTATGATTAACAAATTTATTACCATCATTAATTTCTTATTTTTATCATTTGTATATTTTAATTAATTGATGATTGAATATTTATAATTTTATTTATTTAAAATTAGGAATGTCAAGATTCAAATTAAGACCCTCCTATCATACTGGTTGGATCTTAACTGACATCTCAAACTTTAAAAAATTCTTTTGGAATTGCGACTTCTTGCATTTCATATAAATATCTCATCATCGGTCTCAATCTTAAAACGATTATTACACTTTTCTATATTAATTTTTAATGTCATTATTATTTTTTATTATTTTCTTAATTATCATTATTATTATTCTTGTTTTTTTATTTCATGTTTGTTTTTCTTGCTATATTACATACACGAGTTATTACATTTTTTACTATTATTACTATCCACTTTTTTCTTATTATTTTTACCCCTTTTTTATATATATATTTGGTCCTAGTTATATCTACTAATTTCTTACTTATATAAATCTCACCCATTTAAATCTCTTTTTCTCTTTCGTTTCTTTTTTTTATAAATAAATATTTATTCAATTTTAATTCACCAAACATGCTTAATACCATTTTTTATTCTATTTTTATTGTCTTGAATTTAAATGTTTATATTTTCTTTTATTTAATATTCCTATCCTATCATTAACTAATCCTTCTAAATATTTATTTCATCTTACTTAGGCTAATCATGTTTTTAAGACAATATGTTTCAAAGTAAAGCAAGCCAATATTTAGTCCAAACAAGTTTACAAATGGGTCAAAAAATGTTTATACCTTTTTGGGCCAAGGCTGTCCAAGCCCTACAAGCACTTAGGTAGCTCGGTGAGGCCCGCGAGGTGACGCTCAAGACAGCTTTAGGTGCTTGGTTAGCAGCCTCAAATCAACCTAAACGCACAGTTTCCTTCACCCCACCAAACGGCGGTCGTTTTACTGTCCCTAGCCTAGGTATAAAACCCCTTGTTCTTTACTCTCTCCCCATTTCACCCTTCATTTTCTCTCTCTAGCACCAATCTCCCTCCTTCTCTCTCTAGCACCAATCTCCCTGCCTAAATCCGGTCCTCCCCTCTCTACTCTCTTACTCCTTCCTTTTTCTTTTCTCTTTCTCCTTCTCTTGCCGCCGGCGACCTTCCCTTGCCGCCTGTTTCGTCACTCTTTTCTTTCTTTTCTCTTTCTCTTTCTCTTGGCGCCCCCCCCCCCCCCCCCTTTCTCTTCTTCTTCTCTCAGCAATCAAAGTGACTATTGTGCATTGGGCGAAGCCGAATAGGCAATAGAAAGACACCAATGTTATCTCCGAAGAATACCCCTTCAGGATTGCCGCCTTGTATGAAAGGAGATGACGATGATGAGCTTGACACTTTCACAAAGATTGAATCATGGAAACCGCATATGTATAGATTAGATCACCTGAGTGATGTTGCTTGTTGAATATGACAAACAGTAGCGATGAAAAGTCCTCCGACTCCTTGAGCTTCTCCGCTCCAGCTTTTCCATCCTATAAAGTAAAGGTTCAAGAAAGCAAGCTCAATTTGAACTTCGAGACAAACCAAATCGAACACCATAATTCAATTCAATTTCAGTTTTTTAGCAGTACTTTTGAGTTTTGGCATAAATCAAAATAAAAGAGTTTGTCAACAATAATCTTAATTCGGACCTTATTTGTCCTCTCTCTCTCTCTCTCCGAGGTTTCAAAGGAGAAAAAGACCAGGAGAAGAGAACCTGAAGGTTACAGCAAGCAAGAAAGTGAAAGCAGGGACTAAGTTGGCAAGAGCAGAAGCAAGGGCAGGGGAGCTGTAGTCCGCACCAGTGAATACACAATTCTGCATTACAGTAATCCTGCAAAACCCAGAATTTTATGACCATCAAATTCTTTCAACAGAAGGAAAAGGGAAGTCTGTTAATTAATTTCATAGAATACCCAGCAATGCTTAAGAGGAAAAACTTGCAAAGAAAAGATAAGGTAATCGGTGGCCTCTTATTCCTGCATGAAAAAAACCAGAAAAGCAAAACAGAAATAAGTAATTATGATAATGATCGTAACCCAGGATGTTTCTGATATATATGATGAGAAGGAGGACCTGGTGAGGAAGAAAGCACAAGGGACGAGACTGATGGAAGCCAAATCATTTGAGTAGACAACAAAGACAAAGTGGCTCATTCCTTTGGACATGGCAGCTTTGCTGAGAGTGGTTAAGCCAACATCCAGGCGCTCCACACTCACTCACCGTGGCTGCAAATGGCACCAATTCCACCAACCAGGATCTCACCCTCATCTCTCCAACTCTCAAATTTCTATTTCCCTGCAAACTTCTGGCAACTGGATGAATATATCTGCTGCTAAAGATCTACTGTTTTGCTTTATTGCGGCGTTGGGGGTTGAGACTGATTGGGACAAATTTATCACATGCTGCCTCAGCTTCCGAGCTTTTACATAATATAAACATCGGGTTCCCACTCTTATAAACTTATTAAATCAAATCCTATCTGCTTCTATTTTTTTTTTTAACTTCCCTTATTATACTAAATATAAACTAAATGTTACTCAATAAACCTTGCTTTTGTCATTCATCTTGGTTCTTTTATTTTATTGGTGATTGGGTCCATTCTATATTACTATTTATATAATTTTATTTCTCAATATTTAATTTGTTTCCTTTGTGTAGGCATGATTTATGCCATTTCTTTTTGCAGTAAATGAATGATTTATATTAAACTCTTAAAATTAAAGGGTAGAAGTGGTGCACAAATGGATTAGCTGTTGTGAATTGAAATGAAATTAGTGTACAGTGATAAATTTGTGAATTTTTTCCTCTTCATTGTTTATAAATTTAGAAAAAGGTAAAGGAAAATTAAAAAACAAAAATTGGATGGAAAAAAGGGGAAATAAGAAAAGGCCCAAAAACCATGGCCGAAGCTCAACTAAAATCCATGGGCTAACCAGCTCTTTGGACCTTAACCTCCATAATTTCTTTTTTTTTTTTTAATTTAAACCCATAATTTCTTCTTCGGCAAACGTGGTTTTACATATTTACCTCTTCAATTTCTATTTCATTTTGGTTCCTTTTCCAATTTTCTCTGCTCCTCAAACATATTGCTGCAAATCGCAACAAAGATAAAAGAAGGATATATTAAAAAGAGGTAGAAAATGGGTGAGGTGGAACCTAGTTTGGAAGAATTTTTGGAGGAGAAGAAGCGCGTTAGGAACCCTCTTGTCCCTGTTGGTAATTTTCCCATTTCTCCTCTTCAGCTTGTCATTAATTTTTCTGTTTTTATCTGTTTTGTTCTTATGGGTTTTGATTTTTATTTGTAGAAGGTTTTGTGGTGTGAACTTTATGGGGTAAATTGTTATTTAAAGTTGCAGTCTTGCAGATCCAATTTGAGTGGTTAAAAGATTGTATTTTTTTTTCTTGGAAGGATGTTTCTGATAAAATTTGAACCTTTAATCTTTAATGGAGAAATATTTGTTATTGTGTTAAATTATCAAATCCTGATAGCCAATTTGCTGCTAACTAATCCAATGCTAGTTAGCAACCCCATTTCCAGTGCTTGATTCCTTTAAACAAAATTAGGCTGAAGTGTGAAAAGTGTGAAGAGTAATTCAGGGTTTCTGAACTTGTGTGAGCTAACTGCTTTGAATTTGTTTTGAGGAGAACGAACTTCTAAGTTCCTAATCCAGCATAACCGCAGCTAAGTCTATATGGAATAATCTAGTAATTGATGTCATGTATGCTTGGAGTTGCCCTTTTTATTTGACTCCAAAAATAGTAGTGACTTTCACAAGTCACAGTAGGATTTATTTTTGAGTTATTGCTTAAGTTCTCACGGACAATGAAATTTAATATTTATAGCTTAACTCAGCACTTCTTGTGGTTTTCTTGTGTTTAGTATCCAAGTGGTAGTCATTAATTTCTGAATGTTGCTCCTGAAAGGATGTAACAGGAGACTTCTGTGGATGGTAGCTCTTGTTATAAAGTTGGAGGAGTGTATTTCTTTACTTATTGTTCTTGTTTGTGGATGCTTGATCTTTCTTTTCTAGCTCCTAGGACTAATTAATTGCTTGGCGTCACCTTCGTTTTCTTTTGTTTCATCGTAATAGAAATAGTAATGTGTGAAACTATGCTGAGCCTGTGAGCATATTCGAAATATTTCAGTAGAGAAATTGAAATTTCTCTTCACTAGTTTTTGGCCAAGTTTATGGGTTCAGCATGAAGCAATGTGCATCCAATATTTTGATAGCTGCTATTTGACTATATGCTGTTTTCAAAGTAATATAATCTGTTTGTGCAAGATTTCATTTATAAGTGACAATTAGATGATCGTTGCTTCAATTTGACTTCTGTTCACCAACGCCATTAATAGCTTGAATAGTAAGTTGCTTGTTTTTTTATTGCCTGTCAGTTAGTGAGATGCTGTTGCTCTGATCAAAACTAGGCATGGAGAGTTTGTTTTTAGCAGTTAGGAACCTGGAAGACATATGTCCCAAACTTAATCAATCACCTACCTTGCAATGTTCTATATTACAAACTCCAAGCCTTTTGCCAAGGATTTGATTTTAATTTATTATCTAAACATTTTAGAAAGTTGACACTGGGGCTTAAATTCAACTTTTATCCAACCTAGAAAAAACCTATTTGAACCTATGATACCTCTTAAGAATTTAGCTACCTAAGAGCTTGATATAGTACCGTAATCAGTTTGGTCCTACTTCTTGTCATTCTAAACTTCAACTAGTCTTTAGATTGTTTGCTGCTTTTTCTTTGTTTTGCTGACTATCTTGTCAGATTGATATTGTTTTTGTTGCTTTAGGTATTTGCTTCATGTTATAGATGTTGTTAGGCCATCTGAGTTACAGAATCTATTTTCTTCTTTCTCTCTTTTCATCTGCTATAGCATTTTCCTGATATGATATTTTTACTCTTACTTGGAAATGGTAATAGTTATGGTTCAAGTATCTTTAACATACGTGTACTTTACAGGTGCACTTATAACTGCTGGAGTGCTCACTGCTGGGTTAATAAGTTTTAGACTAGGTAATTCTCGCTTGGGTCAGGTGCTAATGAGAGCTAGGGTGGTAGTTCAAGGGGCTACAGTTGGACTTATGGTTGGCACTGCATACTACTATGGGGATAATCCCTGGAAATCGAGATAGACTCTGTGGACTACTCAGTGTCTTGTAGTTATCATAATGGCCATATAACTAATCGCAGGACCGTGTGTCATTGCCAGTAACATTTGAGTACTATTTTTTATCGCTTTACATGATCCAAATTTTCTTAGTTGCAACCATTATTTTTATTTTGATAAGCATATTTTGTACTCATATGTTCGACAAAAGCATCATACCAAGAAAACAAATACCCCCAGATAATACATTTTGGGAATAAATTGAATGTGCTGGTTGCACCATTCTTTCTATGCTTGAGTTTTTCTGAGAATCCTATATATGTAATATTTTAGCGAACAGAAAACAACAAATCTCCATTTCTTCATTTCAATGGCAGGGCATCATTTCTGTAAATTTATTGTTAAAGTGAATTGCTTTGATATAAGGTGAGAATCAGATGTTCAAGACCTTCCTATGAGAGAAGTTGAAAGTGCTAGTTAGCATTTATCATGGACGATAAGCATTGCGTAAAAAGGCCAACGTTCATCATTGAGGCTTCCTGTTTATCTATTAGACATTGCAGTTAACCATCCTTAATGGCTATGCCCGTAACAGAAATGATCATTTTTCTTATATTTTAAAAACCATTTTATCGAATTATGACGATAATCAATCTACCCAGACAAGAATCGTTTGCCAATCGTGCTTCCAAGCTCACCTTGCTTGTCATTGCCACTATTAGCCCTCTTCCTTGCAATTTAGATGCTTTCTAGGACTTTAGCCTCTGTTTTAGAAATCATTCACTAGTCTCCAATGGATCCTGTATGCCCGACGATTTTTGACCATGACGTCTGATAGGCCAAAAGCCAGCTGTCTAAATACGAGGATACGAAGACAGAAAATCTGTCTTTATCCCCCTGGAAAAACTAGTGGCTTACGTGTGCAGTGCAAAAGCTGTCGACACCCGTGTGTTATAGTACTTCGAAAAACCATAACACAAACGCTGAGCACAAAGAGTTCGGCCCCAACCCACATACCAACAAGCCTCATTGACCACCTTTCCTCGGGAATTTCTCTCCACAACTCTGAACAAATCCCACAATATCCCGCTCAGCCGCGCCGCCCCACATGGCCACTCTCTTTAAACCCATGTGTATTTGTTTCTCCTCTTTATATAAATCCCTGAAGACCCTTGTGTTCATGAGACTTTCTTTTATCTGTCAATGGGGGTGAATGCATGCCTAGCTATGTGCTCCTGCTGCTGCAATGGGGGAAAGAAATTGCAGCTGGGGGTGAATTCAAGGCGACAGAGGCGACAATGGGGCAGCAGGTCAGTTAAAACGAAAGTGATGAAGCTCCAGAGAGTCGTGCCAGGCAGCCATGGGCTGCACCTCGATCAGCTTTTGGTTTATGCAGCTGACTACATCTTGCAGTTGAGGTTGCAAGCTAGTCTTCTAGAGGCTCTTGTCAAATTCCATGAGCCATGAGGCTTATGCATGCGTTTCTGTACTGATGAAAAATCTTTTGTTTTCTCCTTATTGTTAAATTTCCTATATAATTCTACTTTATTTTCATGAATGTGGAGTGATATTCATATATTGGCGCATCAAGCCCTGCAATCTCACCATATCCATAGCTTTTGAGAGGACAAAAAATTTAGCCAATGCAATGGGAAATCAATGCTTCACCTTATTTCTGTTGATTAGTCTGCAAAACCATGCATGTTCAAGAATGTATTTTCAAATCACAAGTTACTTCTTTTTTTCTCATTTCAACCACTTCCAGAAAGGTGGGGACAAAGGGTCAAAACACAAGTATCAGTATAAATAATGGTTTTAGAGTTTTCTCTTGATATTGTGATAATTGATCTAGCAAATTGTTGAATGTACAAATTTAACAAAAGGAATCAAATATTGGGTTCAAAAATATAATTAAAAGCAGAAAATTCTTGAACTGATTTGTTCATGTTAATGCCTACCTTGCAGTCTTTGCTGTTTTCTTTTTTTTTTTGTTGAGCAACAGAAACAACTACATTTACAAACTACACCACCCAGAGAAAAAGGTACCTTCATCATTGAGTGAAGAAGCAATAGGACAAAGAACAAGATCACACCATCACCATTACTAAAACCCAATAAAGCTCCTACCGTTTCTTCCTCTTCTCCAACAACACCTCGTCCTCCATTCTCACCCCAGCAACACTAAAGGCAACCCAGAAGAGAAAAAGAAACAAAAAGGGATATGTTACTGACTTGACATCAGAGAAGAAAGCTTTGAAAGCTTTGGTTCATTGCGCAGACAGAGAAAGAAGAAAACAGGCGTTTAGCGTGTTTGGTATGCAGAAGCACTGTTGGATCATTCAATTTCTGTTTTGTTTTTCTCTTTTTAAGGCAGATGTTCATGTTTCCTTGTATAATTATCTAGACAGAGTTATAATAGATAATTTGTATATTTATTTTAACAGATATGAAATATTGGAGCATATGATTACAATTCTTCTCAACATATTGATATAATCAGAATAATATGAAGAGAATGATGCAAATGTAGAATTTGAAAATTACTTACACGGGGAAAAATCCAATATTTGGAAAGTGAGAATTGTGCCTCAAGTTCAACTATATGCTTTAGAATATGGAAAATATCTTTCTTATTTCTTTACCTGCCGAGCAATTTACCAATTTTCCTGAAAGAGAACAAAAATAATTAGAGTGCAGCACACTGTCATTTTCCCTTGGAAAACCTCCCTATTGTACCTTTTAGGAACCAAAAATTTTCTTAGTTATGATTGCAAAAATGAAGAATTGGGACTGGTAGCAGTTCAATACCAACCCATTTGCATTTGGTTCGCGGTTGTCTGACCTGTTGAAGGAACTCGATCAACTGCAAACAATTTGCTGACTCTCTCGCCTTCTCCTTCTCCGTCTCCTTGGCGTTTGTGGTATGCTTATTGCTTTCATCTCTCTTGGATTAATTAATGGTTTTTTGAGCTTTTTAGTGTCAATTTTGATACTATTGGCTTGTGATTTATGAGCATCAGCTTGGTCCTTGACCTTTCTGATCATTGCCAAATGCAAAAACTAGTTTACATATTCGAGTTGTACGTATTGGGGATTAATTTTTTGTCAGTCTGAACACTTTGGAAGCAAGCATAGGTTTCTCCTTGGAAAAATTTCAACTTCCCTTATTGGGGGTTTTGATGTTTTCATCTAATTATTAGAACTTTTAGTTTTCTGATCACACTGAGACCTGAGGATCAGGTTTGACTTTAGGCTGTAATTCAGGTCTGCCAATCTCAACACAATCGTCAGCAAAGACGAAGATACTGAAACATGGAGATTAGGAAACGGATTCCTTTCGATGTGATCTTCGACATTTTCACAAACCTTCCTGTTAAGTCCCTGGTAAGATTCAGGTGTATTTCCAGTACCTGCTCCTCCATTATAACCAGCCAAGATTTTGCCAAACAGCACTCAAGTCGATATTCCAGGATCAAATCCAAGTCGCTATTGACACCAACCATTACCATAAGCTGCTCCACCGAGCTTCAATCTGCTCAGATGTTCTTCTCCGCAGAGCTTCATGAAGGGTCTGTGTCAGCATCAGCTGTTCACCTGGGGACCATCCCTCCTCGCTTCTCCCGCTACACTACCCCTTCAGTTAATGGGATAATCTGCATGGACTTTGGCCTTTGTGCCACGATCTTTAACCCCAGTACTCGACAGGCTGTTACTTTACCATTCGTTTGCCCTCCCAACTCTCCAGCTGCTGCTTCTACTTCCTTTTGTGTGAACTCATTTGGGTTTGATCCCATCACTGAGTGTTACAAGGTCTTGAACTCTTGGGCTGTTTCAGGGAAGGCTACTGAGTACAGGGTCTATACTTTGGGGACAAACAACTCCTGGAGACTGCTTGGTGGCGGACCCTCTCATTCTCCTAAGAGGGAAAGCGTTTCCATCGATGGGATCATATATTTCAAGTGCCATCACTCTTCATTCCTAATTGCATTTCATCTCCACACGGAGAAATTCCATGAGATTCGACTTCCAGATCGTGTCTTCAATTGGAGAAGTGATTTAATACAATTTGCTGGGCGCTTGGCCCTTGTTGATACTCAATTTAATTCTCAGTCCAATTCTATCAACATTTGGCTGTTAGAAGACCAACTTAGGAATGAATGGATTGGACATAGTATCACCTTCCCTACTTTCTGGAAAGAAATTGAAGGGTACAAAAACTTTTTGGTTGTTGGCACCATTCATACAGGTGAGATTTTGTTGGCACCATGCTCTTTGTTGAAGCACTTTTGCGTGTATATCTATGATCTGCATAGGAGAATGAGACAGATTGAATTGTCTGGACTGCCTGAACATCGGCCTTTTGATTTTTCTTCCAATGCTGTTAACGTCACCAATTATGAGCAAAACATTTTGTATTTGGCATAACTAATTACTCCCATCAGCCTCCTTCTGAACCTTCAATATCTTGTTAATTTGTTTTAATTTAGAATTCAGCTTGTGAAGTTAAGTAACCTGCTGAAATATTCATATATAGGACAGTTAATCTGTTCTTGTTTTTTTTTTTTTTGAAAGTTCAGTTGTATTCATAACAGAGGGAACAAACATTCATCTCTGGTCAGTACAAGATGATTTTGCTCTGATATTCTTAGATTACGGAACATCATAACAAAATCCTCCCCAAAAGAGAAAAACCTACGCTCTATACAATTGATACAACCCCCAGCTGCAGAACCACCCCAAACCCTGAGCATCACAATCACAACACACTTTGCACATTCATATAATCGTCCTAGCATCTTAAACTGGGGACAACAACCCCATAAAAACCAGGCAGCATCCTTGTTTAAAGTATTGAACCAACACAAACAATTTTGATCCCCAAAACTAACAAAAAGAAAAACATGACCTGTACAATGCTCAACACAATGCAACTGTACATGCAGCAGCTCAACAAAAATCATCCAACAAACACAAGCTCAAAGCACACAAAAACCACGACCACATCACAAGATCTGAAGAGTCAACCTTTCCCAACCAACTTCTGAAAACAGAAAAAACATCCCCCCGCAAATCAATAGCATCATAACCAAAACAGATTACTCAAAGACCTTGCCTTTGCACACCAGCTTTAGCAAGGCTGTCAGCCAGCTGGTTCCTTTCTCTAAAAATGTGTTTAATCTCGCATCTCTTCATTTCCTTCTTCAGTCTTTCAATGTGCAAGACCCATTTCCTAAGTCTCCAAGGGGCTTCCGATGGATTATTAAATCCATTTGACTGCGTTTTGTGAGTCACTCTCAATTGCAAGATTGTGTGTTTGGCACCATTTAGAGGCTGCGAAGCAATGAAAGCCTCCCTAATAGCTCTAATTTCAGCCACGCTGTAGTCTTCCACCCTTATGGATTTGGAGAAAACAATTTTTATGCATCCATCTTCGTTCCTCATAAACCCTCCCCCCCACAACACCCCCCCTCCACATCCCAACTTCACCGGGGGAGCACTAGGCTGCCCCATCCACATTGATCTTCATAACGCCACACGGTGGAGTACACCATTCCATAACTTTTCTGTTTGTTTTGTTTTCCCTCAACCTCGCACTGACTGGAACTCAAGAACCGAGCCATACTCCCCAAGCCATTAGCCTTTGCCTATGACGCAACTCTTAATTTGATCAGCTCGAAAACCTGATCAGATCTCCATTCCACGCCTCTAAACACTTTTATCATTTCAAGAAAGCCATAATGACCATATTATAACATAGACACCCATTTTCCAGACAGATTTGTTTCCCTTTCTAATTTCAATTCCATTCCACGAGTGAAAAGCACTAATCAAATCAGCAAGGATCATTCAAACCCCCATTCCTTTCCCCACCACTGCCACACTCTCCATACTTCCTGGCAATGAATGAGAAGATGTTACACAATCTCTTGATCACAGTTACCAATACACATGTCGTAGCCTCCCAATTTATCGAGCGTTTTCTAGCAAGCTCATACTTGACAACCACCGTCTCATGAAGAGCCTACCAACAAAACACTTCAATCTGTTGAGAATTCAGTGATTCCAGATGATGATGAAGTCATGGTGCTGGTCAACAAGCAGTTAAAGGATGAAGAAATAAGCATACGGTGTCGTTTTAATGTTTTTCCTCTGTTATAGTTTAAACGTTTTGTGTCATTTTATTAAGTTGGTTGTTTTTTTCCTTCTCGTTTTTACGCATTAGAGCAAAGAAACTGTTGTTAGGCAGTTCTGGAATTTTCTGCCCAGTATAGCTCAGCTCAACAAACTTTTTCTCTTTCTTAAGTTCTCATTTCTCAAGGCCGATATTTCGGCACTGGTGGTTGTCATCATATATACAGAATGAAAAAGTAGTGTGGTTGTGTTCCTCTCCAGATCATCTTCTTTCCTAATTTTTCTTTGGTTACTTTTCATTTTCTTTCTCTACTCTGCTCTGCTTTATTTTTTGTGGTTTCTCTTGGTTTTCTGTCATGGTATCAGAGCTTTAAAATCGATCTTAAGGGACTGTTTCAACCATTCCAGATTTTCCAGATTTCACTCTCTGTTTTTTGGATCATGGCCACAAGTGGGTTTAGTACTTCTGCTCCTCCGGTGTTCACTGGAGAGAATTATGTGTTCTGGTCAGTGAAGATGCAATCCTATCTCAGAGCTTTCAATCTATGGGAAGTGGTGGAGACTGGGATTGAACCAGAGCAAAGACATGCTAATCCTACCTTGGCTCAGATAAGGCAGTTTGAAGAAGACAAGGCAAAGAGGTATAAGGCTCTTTCCTGTTTACAATCTGCAATTTCTGATGAGATATTTGTTAGAATAATGCACTTAGATAACCCTAAGAAAGTGTGGGATCATTTAAAGGAGGAATTCCATGGTAGTGATAGAACTAGAAGAATTCAAGCTTTGAATCTGTCTAGGCAGTTTGAGATGCTAACCATGGAAGATAATGAAACTATCAGAGAGTTTTCTGGGAAAATGATGGGAATAGTGAACCAGCTTAGGTTGCTAGGAAAGGAAATGGATGAAGAAAGGTTAGTGAGTAAAATGCTAGTTGCACTACCTGAGAAATATGAATCAAAAATTTCCTCCTTAGAGGACTCAAGGGATATTAGTCAGATGACTTTGAAGGAATTAGTTAATGCACTAGGGGGTTTAGAGCAGAGAGAGAGCTTTTAGGCAAAAGGACTTACTGAGAGTGCCTTAGTTGTCAAAACAAAGAATGGAAAGGCTGGTAGTAGTTTCTCTACGAGAAATGAAGCTAACAGAAAAGAAAAAGGGAAGAGAGTTGATGAAAAAAGACATGAGGATCATAAGAAAACATTTCCACCATGTTCTTATTGCAAAAAAACGAATCATACAGAAAAGTTTTGTTGGTTCAGGCCAAATGTTAAATGCAGGAGGTGTCACCAGCAAGGACATGTAGAGAAGGTCTGTAAAAACAAAGTTAAAAATGCTGATGAGAAAGCTGCTGTGGTTGAAGAACTTCAAGCTGAAGATGAGGTTCTTTTTATGGCTAAAATCATGGATAGTGAAGATGAAAAGAATACTTGGTTGTTGGATAGTGGTTGTTCAAACCATTTAACAAGTTGCAAAGATAACTTCATTAATCTAGATTCTAGCTTTAGAACAAAAATGGAGATTGGAAATGGAGATTCTCTTCTGATACTTGGGGTAGGAACTGTTGGTGTTCAGACACCTACAGGTAAAAGACTGATTTATCATGTTTATTTTGCTCCTGATGTCAGTCAAAATCTGTTGAGTGTAGGACAATTGATTGATGACAAATATATACTTGTTTTCAAAGATAGGGCCTGCACTGTTAGTGATCCTGCTGGTAATGAATTGTTCACAGTAGGTATGAGGAATAGATGTTTTCCTTTGAATTGGATGAAGCTTAATCAAAATGTTTATAAGGCAATTTCAGTTGATACTGACTTGTGGCACAGGAGATATGGACATATTAATCATGCTTATTTGACGCAAATGGCAGCACATAATCTTGTTGAAGGACTTCCTAAAATTGGTGAACCTGATAGAGTCTGCAGCATTTGTCAATTTGGGAAACAAAGGAGAGCTGCATTTCCTAAAACTAGAACTTGGAAAGCAACAAAAAAATTGGAGTTGGTGCATATTGATATAGGAGGTCCAATGAAGACTGAGTCTTTAAATGGGAGCAGATTTTATTTGCTATTCATTGACGATGTGACTAAGTTCAGCTGGATTTATTTTCTCAAAAGGAAATCAGAAGCTTCAAATGTTTTCGCTAAGTTTAAAGCTTTAGTGGAAAATCAGACAGGTCAGTCCATTAAGAAGGTCAGAAGTGACAATGGCTCTGAATTTACTGCAACAGAGTTTGAGCAGTTTCTCAGTCAACATGGTATAGTACATCAGCTCACTGTAACATATAGTCCTCATCAGAATGGGACTGCTGAGAGGAAAAACAGAACCATTATGGAAATGGCTCGATGTTTGTTGTTTGAAATGAGCCTACCAAAATCCCTGTGGGCAGAAGCAGCTAATACTGCTAACTACCTTCTTATATTGCTCAAACCAGATCTCTCCCAAGCAAGACTCCATATGAAGCCTGGTTCAATGTCAAACCTTCTGTTAACCATCTCAGAGTGTTTGGCTGCATCTGTTACTCAAAGGTTCCAGATGAAAAAAGAAGCAAGCTAGATGGAAAGTCAATTGTAACAGTTCATCTTGGCTATAGTGAAGTTTCAAAAGGGTACAGAGTTCTTGATGTTAAGACTAAGAAAGTTTTTGTTAGCAGAGATGTTAGATTTGATGAAACAGCAAAGTGGAATTGGGAAACATTGAAGGTTGAGGGCAGTAAAGTAATTGATACAGTTACTGAGGCTGCGGATGATTGTGAGATGGAAAATGTAGATGATGAGAACATTGATGAGGTTCCAGTTCGAGGAACAAGGTCACTTCTGGATGTGTACAGTAGATGCCATTTAGCCCTTGCTGAACCAAATAATTACCAAGATGCTGCTAGGGATAAAAACTGGAAGCAGGCAATGGAAGTTGAAATGTTGATGATAAAAAAGAATAGCACTTGGATTTTGGTTGACAGACCAGAAAATCAAAAAGTAATTGGTGTTAAGTGGGTCTACAGAACTAAGCTCAACTCTGATGGGACCATCAACAAATACAAAGCAAGGTTAGTGGTCAAAGGTTTTTCTCAGGTTTATGGAGTAGATTTTTTTGAAACTTTTGCTCCAGTAGCCAGATTAGACACAATCAGACTGTTGGTTGCACTTACTGCAAATCAAGGGTGGTTATCTGGCATCTGGACATCAAGTCAGCTTTTCTGAATGGCACTATTAGAGAAGATATATTTGTTGAGCAACCTGAAGGCTATGCTGAACCTGGCATGGAGAACAAAGTCTGTAATTGGTCAAAGCTTTGTATGGACTCAAACAGGCCCCAAGGGCATGGTATGATAGAATGGATACTTATCTACAAAGTTGGGGTTTCACAGAAGCAACAATGAACATACTTTGTATGTCAAAAAACGGACAAAGGTATCCAGCTTATTATCCCTTTATGTGGATGATATGCTCATTACTGGTCCTAGTGGT